TATATATATATATATATAGTGTACAACAAGAAAAGATATAATTTGCATATGAAAGCTGCTTTGCAAAAAGATTTATCGTTTCCTCGATTCCCAGATCGCAGAATCTTCGACCTTTGAATCTCCGAATTACGAGATGCTATTACGCTTTTTATTCTTTTTACAGCCATTGACTGAAAAAGTCTCTACGTCATTCCTTCAATCTCTGAATTTTGCGACGATTCTTGGAATTGTCGCCGTATCTAGGCTTACATCTCCGGATCTCATACGACGGAAAGTGGACGGGTATAGCTCGAGGATAACCGCGTATCGTGGGAAAGTATCTCGGAAATGCGCGTGATTATCATACGACGTCGCGATCAGAGAGGCTCCGAAAAGGGTGATTTTTCCCCCCTCCTCCCGCTCCCGTTTTATTGAAGAGCATACCGAGACGTCTTTGTAAAACGGCGTCGTTGAGAGATACATGAGCGATACGCGATTAAGATTCGTAGACCTTGGAACGCATTGTCCATGCGCGATAATTGGCCGCTGTTTTGTATGCGTGCTCCTTCGGCAGACAGAATAGTTTATCTCTACTACATCTTTCTTTTTCTATCAAACTAGCTCGCGTTATCTTTCTCTCTTCATCTTCCTCTTTCTCTCTCTCCTACACTAGAAACGGTAGATTCTATAGCGGTAGAACGTCGATCTCCAGGGCCGACGAGTGAGCGCCTTGGAGGCGTAATGACGATCGTAGAAACTCTCGAGGCCGGCCCACACCGAGACCCAGAGAGTTTCGCGAACGCGAGATAGAAGACTCGTAGAAATACGGATATGTAAGTCTTTTTCTCAAAATTATCACGCACACAAATGTTTATTAAAAAAGATATTGTCGTTAAGATAATTAAGAAAATATTTTTTCTCGCGAATGAGAGAATTTGGCTAGTTCAATGCATGCTGATAAGAAAACTTTAATTGTGCAATTTTGATTAAACCTTGTGTCTTGACAGAAATTCAAGTCAAGATGTTTAATCATTGATTTATGAGCTGAGGTTTGAGTAAATAAAACAAATGGTATCGATAGTTTCGAGAATAGAATACAACGGGACCAAATTCGAGTACAAAGGCGCGAATCGTGACACGTTGTTTTTGCGATTGTAAGGCAGGTCGCTGCAGCAGAGATTAATCGGACCGATAGGCAACGGCGCGGAAAATATAAAATCACGTTGTCCTCGAATTTGCGCGATAATCGGCAATTATCGCGTGCGTGCTCTATGACTTCAAACGGA